AGTTGCCTAACACTTTGGCCAGCTCTCTCACCATGATCTGAGGGTGATTTAGAGCACTTTGACATTCTTTACCTTTCTGACTTTGTCCCTTGGCAGAGCCAGCGTCATTGCCTGGGAGTTTAGGAGAAATCCCAAAAATTCCATTTTTGCAGCTGGGATTAGAACTGACTTGAGATAATTGATCGTAAAACCTAAATTCTCTAAAAGATGAAAAGTCGTTGAGGCATGACAATTCAGAATTTCTTTCAAATGGGCCATGATGAGCAAGTCGTCCAAATAAATGATTAATCTGATGCCCAGCTGCCTTAATAGAGCTAGAACTGCTTTCATGATTTTTGTAAATACCCGAGGGGCAATGGACAGACTAAAGGGGAGGCAAGCAAACTCGTAGAGAATGCCCTCCCAGTTGAATCTCAAACTTTTGATGTTCTTGGCAAAGGGGGAGTGTGAAATATGCATCTTTGAGATCGATCTTGATCGTGAAATCTCCTTTTCTGAGGTCTCTCACCATATGAATTCTTTCCATTTTGAAGTGCTCATAAGAAAGGAATTGGTTTAGGGGCTTCAAGTTTGCTACAGGTCTCTGACCACCCCCTTTTCTTGGAACTAAAAAGAGGGAACTGAGAAACCCTGGAGTCTCTTGTGATGGGGGAACCAGGTGAATTGCCCCCTTTTGAAGCATTTCTTGAATTTCTAAGGTGACAAGGGAGCGACCGTCCTCTGAGAGGGAAGCCTCCTGGGGAAATATTGTTTGAACAGGAGGGCTCACAAAATTTAAATGAAGGCTCCGAACGGTCTCCAACACCCAGGAGTCTGTGGTTATCTTTTCCCAGTTTTTTAAACAATGTCTTAAATGACCTGCCAGTGGAAGATGATCCACCTGCATAAGTGCTAAGTTGAGATCCATACCTGGAGTTGAATTTGTGAGCCTCTCTACTGGTTGACTGATGTTTGGGGGACTGTATGGAAACCCCTGGACCCTCTTCCACGGCCTCTGAAGTTGCCAGGACACGGGTTGGTGTTGCAAAGGGAAGGTCTGAAACTGGGAGTTTCGGTTGGCACCACTCCAGTGGCTCCCACGGCTTCTGAATGGGGTTGTGCACCCATGAAAAAAGGGCTTTGCACATTGGCCAACTAAAGAGGCCTGTAGCAAAGTCTTGGCCGTCTCTGACCTCATATTAATTTTTGATTCAAAACCTTCCCCGAAAAGATTTTTGCCGGCATCTGAGAACTCCTCTGAAGCCAAAGAGACGAGTGTTCCCTTAGTGTTTATCTTATTAAGCACCGCTATCCGGCACTGTTTGGATAGTAGATCAGATGAATTGCCAACCAGTCTCATGACATTGCACGCCATGGACCCCATTTCAGACATCTGGGCATACGATAGAGTAATATTTGAGCTTGGTGTCTCCTCAGCTAAGAAACCTTGAATATGTCCAAACATGACGCTTAATGGGCAACCTCATTCCCAGGGTCTCTCATCTTACCGCACCCTGGAGCGAGCGAAGAGAGAACCTGGTTGGGTCTGGTCACGTGCCTCCCAGAATCTGGGAGATGACAATTAAATTATTGAAGGGATGGGCGGCCTAGTAGGAATTTTGTCTATACTTAGCCTACGGGAGTTCGGGAAGTGTTGTCTGGGAACCTTTTACCCAGCTATTTTTCAAAAGATAAAAATTTCAAATATCTTCGCGTAGTTTTTACAGCTACGACACTCCAATATAATACAAATCTAAGTGTGCTCCAAGCTTCATGCTTTCATGTGCTTCAAGCTTTCATGTTTTCGAAACCAGGCCGTTCCACGTGGCCGCCATTTATGAATACGGTATATAAGAAAGTAACTCCTTTCCACCTATTTACACTGATTCCAGCTAAAAAAAGGTTGCAAAATTAATAGGGTAGCAAAGTAACAGCTTTTCCTTGGATCCCTGGTATTTAAGAAAATGAGTTGGAGGGGAGCGAGCACTTTTGGCCAAGGTGGCACTTATTCACAAGAGGGTGCTTACGTGCTACTTTAGCCAAGGTGGTGCTTATTTAGGGGAGGGTGTTTACAAGTTACTTTGGCCAAGGAGGCACTTCTTCAGTGGAGGGTGCTTACAGGCTACTTTGGTTTAGGCAGCACTTATTTTATTGAGCCATGAGGCTTCTTTGGTTAAGGTGGCACTTATTCGAGGAGGGTGCTGACATGCTACTCTTGCCAAGATGGCACTTATTAAGGGGAGAGTGCTTACATGCTACGATATCCTTGTGATAAAGATGGCACATTGCGTTACAGCATTTATCTTCTCTTCTGCATCTTAATTATCTATATCTTAGCTCTACGATGCACTTTCTTCAAATTAGCATTTCTCCTGTATTATTTCTAGTTGTCAGATGGCAAAAGTTTTCAAATTGCTTGTCTGACTATGTACACACTGTATATCTATTTTATATGATTTGTGTTCTCTTGCGCATGAGTATAGGCTACTTGGAGCCTCTTGTTTATTCATAACCTGCCAGACAAACGATGATCGTCACTCACTTGGCCACTTAGCGACCCTCAAAAGCCCACTATGGGGCCTAAAACCTCGCAGTTCCTTCGCTCACTTAGCTATTCTACCCTAAAACTCTCAAGGTTGCCTTGTGGCAAGTCTACCTTTTTAGCCTGTGTTATAAGTACTTGTAGTGTTGTGACATCTGTCAATCATACAAGCACGCAGTCAGAAAGGAGTTCATACTCCCCTTGTAGTCGGTGCGAGCATATAGTCAGTAAATCAGAGTTGAGTTTAACTTGTGGTGGTTTCACTTAAACGGTACAACACCACAGTACTCTTTTCTTGCGAACGCCTCACTTTCCCTTTACATGACGTAGCTACGGAGGAAACATCTTTACCAAAGGCCAAACCACTGTGGGCTCATACAGTATTGTGCAAAAGTAATGCAAATGAATTTCAATGAAATTCCTCGTTTTTTGAAGAAATTTCAGTTGAAACGATACTTCCACGAAATTTGCCCACATTTTTGACACCTATTGTTTGATCTACGCGAATTTTCGAATGATAATTCACTTTGCACGAGGACTTACCGCAAATTTTTGAGCGATAATTTGCTCCTCCCGATAATTTGATCTATTGTTTATCAATAGGCCAAGAGTGTTTTCAAAACACAGTTTGCTGAGTTAAATAGATAAATAACCTTTCCAATCATTGTGCACAAAAGAAGCCATTAATCTGCCGAGATAGCATCACAGCTTGACGAATTGTTAGCTTTGAAACTCACCTGGATATTTCAGAAGGAATGCTAAATTGTTGACTTGATCCAAAACCCCAAAACACCACAGTTCTGATAAATAAATGCAATTGTAATTAATCACTATGTTATACACTTGCCAAAACACCATTTTCACAGCATGTAGAGCCACACAATTTTTCGTGCACCAGACCCAAGTCTCCGCACCAGTTTGCTGCCATTGCCCAATTTCATATTGAGAGGGACTGTGGTGAATCCGGACATCTGCCAACATGTCAACAACATGGCGGCCTCAGTAACTATCGATTCTGTAAAGAAAAAAAAGCTGGCACTGGAATTGCAGTTCTTGTTTTGGTAAAAATTCCTGGAGGTCGCAGGGAATTACCTATTACACCTTTACCTGGATCAAAAAGGCACCAAAAAACACTAGGGACGTATATCTGGATGTCATTGGGAAGTCAAAGGTCAAATGGAAGAGAGAAGTGATCTGCTGTGCTCATTGGAGCAGTGGCCAGCATCTGTCACTTGATGATCTCCTTGACGTAAAGCACACTTTTAAGGATGACACACTGGCTACCAACTGGCATTGGAATTGGGCTGCAGCACTCTGTACAAATTTCTGGCGTATACCTGGAATTCATTATTATAAACTCTGTGAAATTGCAAGGGATAAAGAGCTAAAGTGCGCTTATGAAAAGGTTCTTAAAACAAAAACGTGAACTGGAAGAGAAATGTTATTTGCTCAGAGCACTGGTCTAAAGGAAAATGACTTTCGATTCAAGATATACCTGACAGATCTACCTCAAGCTCTTACATTCAAAAGAACATTTCTTTTATAACACCACCTCAAAAAGTCAAGTCGGCTAAACGTTGCCTTAGATATGAAGGAGACTCAGGAGATTGCAAAGTGCCAAGAAGGGAGCTCAAAAGGTCAGTATATAGTGATTCAAAGGATGAAACTACTAAGTCAATTTCCAATTCAACACTTAAAGCTCTGTTGTTAGAAGTACAGAAAAAGCTACAAGAGAAGGAGAAAGAATTACTTAAGTTAACAAAGGAAGTTGTCACTCTGAAAAGTGAACAAACCGAGTATCCAAGACAACTGTAGTTGTTTCAAGGGGAGTATGAAAGAACAAGATTTACATATGAGCATGTGATCGAGAGAGGACAATGCTTCTATATGACTGGCCTTACTGAAAGTGAATTTGATTGTTTGTTTGAGTGCTTGGAACCATTCCTAAGTGCACTAGTCTATCCAGATTGCAAATTGTCTGAAAGTGTAGAAAGATGGATAAGAGAACTGAACTTGTGTTTCTTGACAATTCTGCACCACACAGTTCATCTTGGTGTATTCGGCTGGTCATCTTATTGAGAACTTCCAGCGTGAAAAGCTAACTGTGGATCAAATAAGTAAGCTATCTTCTGAAGAAATGGAACTTTTAGGTGTGAATGATCGCAACACAGTGATGAATTTAAGGTTAGAGTGTTTAAACTACGGTAGCAATCCACCGTCAAGGAAACCTGGAAAACAAGTTTGTGGCGCTCCTGAAAACTTAATTTCTAAGTCAGTTTTAGAGGGGTACCTGGAGGATGGCTTTAATATTAAGGACATTACGTCGTTACTTTCTGTTTCAGAAAGTAGTGTTTATCGGAGAATGGGTTGTTACAGGGGGAAATTGCTGGATCAACTTCAGGGTATCTCTGGAGCTGTTTGGAGTGGTGATGGAAGATTTGATTCTATGGGCCATTGCGCAAAGTATGGCACTTATACAATGTTCTCTTGTGACCTCATGAAAATTGTTCACTTTGATAATCTTCAGGTGAGTAACATTATAATGATTTGCATACCGCAGTTGAATCCAGCCCCTGCATATACGATTTACTGACACCACCTGATATGGCAAAGTGCTTGAATTGTTTATTTATATATGGTGATTGCTACCGTAAATAATATATATAATTATATTCTCCCTGCCTTTCTTTACATGTGTAGTTAGCTTTCTATCATCATCAGAAGCACTGTTGCTTTATTTCATCTAATTTGTTCCTGAAGAGTTTCCAGGTAAATTATTTTCATACATTAGCTGTTGTGGCAATTAGGATGTTTCAGTTTATTGTGAATTGTTTTGGGGTGATCATTTACTATGCTTTAAGGGCAACTTTACATGACATGCTTGATTCAAAAACTTTACCAGAAACCTGTATTACTGTTTTCTGTTTTTGTTTCATGTTTTTTTTTTGGCTTTTGTTTAGGCCAACCAGACAGGTAGTAGCCAGGGAATGGAATTGCAGGGTGCAAAAAACTGCTTCACTTTCTTGAGTAGTGCTGGTGTTGCTATTGCTGTATTTATATCTGACCGCCACCATGGTATTGCTAAATGGATTCAGGAAAGCCAAACTAATACAACACACCTCTATGACATCTGGCATGTTGCAAGGTCCATTGTCAAAAAATTGCTTAAGGCTAGCAAGGAGAAAGGATATGAGCTCATTAAAGAATGGATAAAGGGAGTTCGGAATCACCTGTACTGGTGTGCGACCTTGTCTACCCAGGGATTCCAGGAGATGGTCTTAGCCAAGTGGCAGTCTTTTATGAGACATGTGTGCAACAAACATAAAGATCATCCTGACAGCTTGTTTAAGGAGTGTGCTCATGATGATGATATTGAACCACGCAAGTGGATGAAGATTGGTAAGTAAATTTTTGTAATGGATTACTATGCTGATACAACAAATCTTTTACAACATTTCTTTGAACAGGCTCATCTGTAGATGGGAGAAATTTTGAAGCACAATTAAGAGTAAAACAAGTAACAATAACCTGTATCTTTGTTGTCTAGGTTCAACGGTATATGAGAAAGTTGCAGGGATCCTCACTAATACCCAGCTCATGAATGACATAAAAAAGCTGTCAAATGATGCCCAGACTAGCTGTCTAGAAGGTTATCATGCAACTCTCAACTTTTGGCATCCAAAGATGATATGCTTTTCTTGGATGGGAACATATTGGAGGTAAAAAATATTATCACGTATAAATAAGGACCATCTGTTTATCTATCTGTGGGAGGTGCGGTAGCCTCATGGTTGGTGTGCTTGACTCTGGTCTGGGTTCGAACCCTGGCCAGGGACATTGTGTTGTGTTCTTGGGCAAGACACTTTACTCTCACAGTGCCTCTCTCCACCCAGGAGTATAAATGAGTACATGCGAATTGTTGGGGAAACCATATCAAATTGCACGGGAAGTGACCTGCGATGGACTAGCATCCCATTAAGGGGGAGTAGAAATACTCCTAGCTGCTCCATGCTTCGAAACCAGGATAACCTCCCAGCAGCTACAGCTGTATGAGCCAGTCATGGCTCCAACGCTTCACTTCTTTTATCTATCTATCTATCTACTTTACACATAACACTTTCCTTAAAATAATTATAGTTGCAAGCTTTGTCCAAACAACTAGAGGGACTCATTCAATTATGGTACTGTACACATTTTTTTGTTCTCCATATTTTCAGACATATCATAGCCAGTTTACATTTCAACGAAAACTTGAAGCGCAGCCACAGGACAACAATGGATGGAAGAACATACACCCATGTAACATATCCTAAGTTCAAACAAGGTGAAGAAGTTGTTAGGGAAATTGGAGTTCCACCAACATATGGTAAGATCACTTGCTACTTGAACATATAGACAAGTACCTGCAGTGACTCTATTTTACACAATGCATTTTCCTTATCTTGATACAATGAAATTAGTTACATGTTTGTGACATTTCCTGACCGTAGATTGTCGAAACTGGTACCAGTATAGGATCAGGGTTTGTACCCATTTTCAGGAACAAATTTCTAGTACTTTTCCAGGACTCGGATAGATTTTTCCAGGACTGTAAAATTCCCATCAACCCTTTCACTCCCAAGATCTCAATGTTAGATGTTATTCTCCTTACTGTTCGCTTTACATTTCATTTTTTACTTGAGTTTAACAGATTTCCAGCACTTGTTAAAACCAGTAGCCATTTCCCAGGACCCTCCAGTCCTGGAAAATGCCACAATAAAACTCCAGGACTTTCCAAGTTTTTCAGGACCTGTACAAACCCTGTTGTATTCTAATTATTTTAATTTCCCTTCACATTTATTTTGCAGGTTATGTGAGTGAAATCAAAAAGCTGTTATTTAGTCTGCCAGTGCAAACAATGTCAAGTGTTATGGCCCGATACAATGAAAAAGTTCCTGAACCATTAAACAGGCAATTTCCTGAAAGACTGAGCAAGGACAAAGCCATAGAGAGCCAAAAGGGAAGGGAAAGAGCAAGGACAGAGTTACTTCCTTCTGGTAAGTTGCTCTTGTGATTACATGTGAGTCTGTCAGTAACTGCATACATGTGTGTATGTACAATAAGGGTAATCATTTCTAAGGCTAACAGTTATTTCACAATGTTTCTTAGGTGAGGAGCAAGCAGTTTTGCAAAATGAGCAGCAGTCAGTCTTTAGCTCCACCACCAAGCAAGACATCACGAACATGTGGAACATGTGGAAAACCCAGAAGAGGTCATCCGCAAAGTGGATGTCCATATGCCCATACATTAGACGTGGGGGAAGAACAGTCATCTTCCGAAACTGAGTAAAGCTGTTAGCATTCGAAGTCTTTCTTTTGTTGGCCTAGCTTGATCCTCAAGGACTGAATTGTTTCATGTGTAGATTAATGTCTAGGCTCTAGTTTAAATTTATCTTGGGTTCAAAATTTTCAGGCCAATCTGATTTTCATTATTACAGAGTGATTGTCACAAGCTAATGAAAATACAACATACAGAAAACAAGATTGAGTGCCTTTATCATTGTAAACAACCAATTTTAGTTTATTTGAAGGTCAAAACTTGATTTTACAATGATAATGATAGTAACTAGGTCTAATCTTTTTTATGTTACCAAAAACAAAAGGTCAGATGGCAGTCGATATAACTGAAATAAAGCACAAATGCTACCATATTCATAAGGTAACCATCATATAAGCACAACTGAGCCTGTAGGTTAACAAAATACTCTATCTAAAATGGTGTGGGAAAACAATCTGTGCATGGTGAAAGGTTCAGTGTTTACAATTGTGATACAGTTCATCCACCCTTGTGTTGATTTGACTTCAAGATCTGCTAAAAGGGATGCAATAACATTTAGTCATAACTACTAAAATCTGTCCACAATTTTAATAGGTTGATTGCTATCTGTATGCAGTTAACACTTTTTACAGCAGAAATAACACAATACTTGACATGTTAGAAATGGCTGTTGTATTCCTTGTTATTATAAATATTTATATACAACAACTGTTGGTTGAACATAACATCACATTTTATACAAAACTGAGCATTGGGAAAGCAGCATACAACATTTCATTTCTTAAAAATAGATATGCTACATTTAAAAGGTAATGGTCCTTTATACCTTGATTTCCATGGGGATTAAAAAAGAAACAAAACAAGAAGACAACCAATAGACCTTTCCTGCATTCCAACAAACAATGGCACTGTGTTGAGGTCAGGGGGACAAAAATACAGCAAATGTAAGAAAATGTCCACCCCAACCTCGCTCTGGTGCTATTGTTCGTACGCACTGATGTGAAATTCAGGAAAGGTCTATATTATTATTATTATTATTATTATTATTGTTATTGTTGGAGTAATGGTATTTTTCTGTAATCAGCAACTATACATAGGACAAATCTGTCTCCAGAGTCCTTGTACTGAAAGTCACATATTTCAACAAGGCTCACAATTCAATTACAGCCATACATGGGCATCAACTTCTATCTTGAGCAGAAGCATATCCCTGCAAGTCGGAATAGGGGAATCTTGTCCTTATGTCCTGATAGATACAGGCGGAGAGTGGTCTGCTATTGTCCCAGCCAAGGAAACCACACACCCAGCGCACCAGCCACCTATAGGCTAGAGCTCGAAGTAACCTTAAAAACAGAGCACAAAATAAGTATACATGCAAGCAGGTGGATTTGTATGACGAAGAGGCTTGGAAAACTTACTCGTTCTGTGGTGAAATGTTGTATTTTATCCAATTTATATTGGGTAGCGAGTCTAAGGGCAAAATAATTTATTCCATATTAGATTTGACCAAATTTGTAAAAATTATAGGAAATGACCACACCCTAAATATTTTGAATTTTACAAATTCCTTAAATTGCTAGGGAAGAATTTTTTCAGAAACTAGTTGAAAGAACTAAGAAGTCATGTGGAAACAACTTCACTCTCATTAATATTGTTTCTGATACAGCCCTCAAAAGAATGCCCAGAATCGGCCAAATTAGCCTCCGGTACCATCTTAATGTTCATTGTTTTTCTGCTGAATTTGTAACTTAAGAAATGCGAAAAATGTTTTAACAGCCTGAAACAACGTGCCAAATTTGATTAAGCATCTCCAGAGTAGAGAATAAAAAGCTTTGTTTTCATTTTCGCATAGCATGATAAAGGTCTGCTGTGAACGCCAGTTATTGTTTGCACTGGGACTTGAGGACAAATTTACATAATCTTTATTTAAGTATCATTGTCTGAGAAAGTGTTCCAGGGGCCAAAAGGTGTGGTCAACCGATTTGGCTGAAACTTTGCACAGAAGTTGGGAACAATGACATATTTCAAAAGCCAATTTGGCTCACTTCTCTGACTTTTAGTTTTGGAGTTTCAGGGGTGGTCTCATATTTTGCCCTTTGAGCACCAAAAACCCAGCCTTCCAGGGGACATTTTGAAAGTGCCATAAAACCCAATTGGTAAATTGTGCTTCCAAATGAATTTGACCATGAACTCTACTATAATAGAGCTTTCAGTTCATTTATGTAACTTTGTCCGTGAGGTATTGGACAGAGAGGAGCCTGGAGCTAGAGTTTAGCAAAAATTGATGTCAAAATTACAACCCAAAATTGCCATTTTTCAAAAAATCAGTGTATCTACCTGCCTTCTTGCATAGCNCTTCCAGGGGACATTTTGAAAGTGCCATAAAACCCAATTGGTAAATTGTGCTTCCAAATGAATTTGACCATGAACTCTACTATAACAGAGCTTTCATTTCATACATGTAACTTTGTCCTCGAGGTATTGGACAGAGAGGAGCCCAGGGCTAGAGTTTAGCAAAAATTGATGTCAAAATTACAACCCAAAATTGCCATTTTTCAAAAAATCAGTGTATCTACCTGCCTTCTTGCATAACTTCCGTACCTATACCATTATTTACTTTAGTGACCCAGTTATCAAAATCAGTTGAGAAAAATTTGGCTTGTCAAAGTTTGTTGAATTTTTGCCACAAACACTCCATGCCCCTCTAAGGCCATTCAAAATGGAATTTTCAGCATAATTCATGCCATAAAAAATTGTTGACATGAAGCCCTTATTCTGTATTTGGTAAGTGAAAATGAATTGTTAAAGCCAAATCAGTGTGATTGTTTAGAATTACCCCGACTCTTACCATCCAATTGCTCTAAAAAGGCCTGTCTTTGAACCAAAAAAGGATGAATTTTTTCTTTGAAAACCTAGTCATAGTCAGTCATAGCGACCGCTTCTCGTAAGCAACCACGCGGCATGATCACATATGACTGTAAGAAAACCATTGCTCAAATGTCACAAAAGTTCAGTTTTAAAAAGTGCTGACCAAGCGCGCTCATAGATCATAGCAGTTAACTAACAAAAAAAGGCTGCAATACGATCTGCAGGCAAAAATGGATTTTAACATTGATTTAAGATGTTATGTACAAATTCTCAACAGTTTTAAGCATTATTCAATTTGAATCATTATCGGCAGTTGTCTTCTTGCCTAAGTTGTTGCTCGCTAGGTAATAACTTTAGGTAGTCACGTTAATCACTTCGGTTTGAGCTTGTTCTCTTATTTTTCCCCGTAGATGACCACTTCTCAGCATAAGCAACCACTTTGTCTTGCATCAAGGGTGGTCGCATACGAGAGAGTTGACTGTAATAATAATAATAATAATAATAATTTACCAATTTACATAGCGCATATTTACATATTCTGATCAATAGCGCTTTGCAATCACCATAAAAATAAAATAAAATTATAAATGATAAAAATACTTCTTTAAAAGATAAGTTTTAAGTCGAGATGTAAAACTGTTAAGTGATGTTGCTTG